TAGATTTTAGCTCAGGTCTTCCTGACGTCAGGCTGGTATGCTATCTACTGTATCACCTAGCTGCCCATTTATTACATTATAGAATGTGCAGACAGAAAAGTATGATCAGAAAATATTATCACTCCTGTATAGGACCCAGTTGAAAGGCATAGCTCACATGTACTGTCACTAAAGTCTTACTCCTGTTTTATCATTGTAAAGTTGAAGTGACTTGGGATGCTTTAAGTTGTCAGTGCCAGCAAACATACTCCAGCATACCCCACTAATCTGGAAAGCCCCTGAATATAGGCCTGCTAGAGGACGCGTTCTGTTGTCCAAAGACTAGAATAACTGAGTCTAGAGAAGACATCTTACCTGGGGTTGACCCTTAGGTAATAACTTTTTCTATTATGTCAAAGCAGTTAGTGAAGACCATCTACTTAAGCATGCAGAGATGTTCACCAGTGGGCACCTGATGTGATAAAATCATAGATCTTCTAACTATAGTATATAGTCTTTTAACCATAATAATTATGAGACTTAAGTTTGCTGGCAAAACCTATACGTTTATGGTGCTAAAGCTTTGATAAAGTAATAGTGTTCTGTTAAAAAGTTAATTATGGTAAGTGTCAGTGATTATTATTAGCTTAAAAGTTCAGAAGGTCAGAATGGTGCTGTACAAATGACAAATGCTTCCTTCTTATCAGTAGGAGAGGTGTTGTGGTTAAGGGAAGAGATATCTGGCCTAAAAGCCAGGAAAACCTGACCTAAAGTCTAGCCTCCCTAGGCTCAGATCATGTATGTGGGACTGTGGTCAAGTCACTTAATCCCTTGTGCAGTTCTCTAAGATTACAAGTTGCAGAAAAGGTATCAACTTTACTTGGCAGAGTTAGTTTCCTCACCTAAGAGTTGCCCACAACAGTGAAGTCACAGGTCCAGTTTTTCTCTCTCCCTAATTGTCAGTACTCTAGTATCTTATATTTTTTGTTGTTCAGTCATTTTTTTCAGTTGTGTCTGACTCTTGGTGACCACATTTGGGGTTTTCTTGGAAATGGTTTGCCATTTCCTTCTCTAACTCATTTGAAGATGAGGAAACTGAGGCAAATAGGATTAAATGACTTCCCAGTGTCACACAGCTAGGAAGTGTCTGAGGCCAGATTTGGGCTCAGGAAGATGAGTCTTCTGACTTTGGACCTAGTGCCATTGTGCCCCCTAGCTGCCTTACCTAACCTGATTATTATATAAGGTATTTCTTTCATATGCATGATTCCATTTGATCCTTAGAGCAACTCTTTCAGGGTTGGCAGGGGAGGTATTATAATTTCCATCTTTAGATTATAGATTATAGTATAATGATTATTTATTATTTTAAAGTTTAATAAATGTTTTCTATACATTATCCAATTTAATACAACATCAGGAAACTGGGTCTCAGAAAGGTGAAGTCCTTTACCTAATGTCACAGCCAATAAGTGGTAGATTATGATTAAAGTACTCCTTGCAGCATCCTAGCTTGCAGATGGGGAGACTGAGGCTCAGAAAGGTTAAATGACTTCCCCACAGTCACCTAGATCATGTGAGACAGAGGGAACAGTCAGCTCAGGTCTTCTGACGTTTGACCTGTGACATCAAATAAGTATTTACCTGAGCCAGTGTGAATAAACAGCTGAAACACTTCCTTAGAGTTAAGCTGTTGAGAACAGAGATTGTAATACCACATCCTCTCTAAACTGAATTATGTATTCTGTAACTCCATCCTTCCTGAGCTGTGGCTTCTGCCAGTTAGAGACCTTGCTTGACATCATAAGACCTTTTCTTGACTGGAATCACTCCTTCTTTTCTGTGCAGAGTTGTTCTACACTGAACGAGCTCATGTCCGCACACTGAAAGTTCTAGATCAGGTGTTCTACCAGCGAGTGTCCCGAGAGGGGATTTTGTCGTCATCAGAACTGAGAAGAATCTTCTCCAACCTGGAAGAGATTCTTCAGCTTCACAGTAAGAGAGACTAACACTGAGCTTGATCACTGCAGCCCCGGGGCACAGGGTGTGAAACGTAGGAAAATGATGCCTGAAAAAAAACAAGAGCAGATCTATAAAGAGAAAACTTCTGATTTGAACCGTGTGTCCTTTTGGTTAAATTCCTATCTGTTAACATTGAAGTTTCTAGGAAGAATATTTTACTGTGGACTTTATACCTAACATTATATTCCTTAAGTGCTTATTAATGACTAGGTTTGTAACTTAATATGCAGATTCTGTTTTAAAAGAGGAGAAGCTACTCTGAAAATCCAAGGTGAAATAAATCTAATGTTAATATGTTTCCAAAATTCTGTTTTCAGTCCTCTTATCTGTTCTCCTACACTGTATCCTTTAGTGATCCATCTTATCATAGTGGCTTCAACTAATAACCTCTATGCAAATCACTCCCAAATTTATATCTTTCTCTTGAATCTTATATTTCAGCCTGTAAACAAGATGCTTCCACTTGTATATCCGTCTTATACCAGAAACCAACATATGTATATAAAGCTAAACTTAGTTTATTTCCCCAACATTTGTTTCTGTTATCTTTGTTAGTGGTACCACCATCCAACTATGTTCAAAAGCTTGGTTTTGGTGTGACTTCGGCTTTTCACCCTTCTCAGCCAGCTAGTTAGTTGTCACGTTCTTTCAGTTCACTTTCTTCACCCTGTTCCCCCTATTACCACCCTAGTACAGACCCTTATCATTATCTACTCACGTGCTCCCGGGTGTATCATCTCTTTTCATTCCGTCCTTTCTACTGCTGCCATACTAATCTTACTTATTTGCAAACCTGATCACATCTTCTGCTCAAAATGCTTCATAACTTCTCCATTTCCTATTTACAAAGTTAAATTTTAACTTTAACAGAAGAAAGTTAAAACTTCTTAGCCTGGCCCTCCAAAACCTGGCAACTCTCTACTTTTCTATCATTACCTTTTGCTACTCCCCTTTATATGTACTACATTGTAGCTAAAGTGCACTACTAACCATTTAGTTTGTCCATGCTATGTAGACCCATTTTTCATGCTGTTGCCTCTACATGAAATAATGCTGTTTCTCTCCCCACATTCCCCCAATCTATGAAATCCTAACCATCCTTTAAGACCCAGCTCAGAAGACTATCTCATGAAAACTTCCCCAATCTCCCTCCTCTCCAACTCAGTAATGATCTTTCCCCCTTCAGACCTCACAAAGCACTTGGTTTGTACCTCTCTTACCTACTTGCTGTATAGATTATAATTTTGTGTGTGTGTATTTCATTAACATTCTTCTGCTTCCCCCAAATGTACACTATATTGTGTGCTCTATGAGGGAAAATATCTTTTCTTATTTAATTGTTGTCTCTTCTAGAATGTAGCTGAGAACTTATTAGACCTTTAATAAATATTTGTTGAAATTTAAACTTATGATTAAGTTGAGAATTATTTTTTTTCCTCTTGCTTTTTTTAAGTTGGGTTGAATGAACAAATGAAAGCTGTTCGAAAGAGGAATGAGACTTCTGTAATTGATGAGATTGGAGAAGATTTATTGATCTGGGTAAAGATTTTTACTTTGAATATTTCTAGAACCAGTTGATTTGTAATCAGAATGGAAGTTAAGTAAATATAACCTTTCCTAAAATATGCAAACTGCCACACTTTATAAACCTGAACTCTGTTGGTTGTGTCACATTGAGTGCTCAAACTGAGAGCTCTTTTTCATTTATTTAAAGAGATAAGTTATTTATCTTCTAATAGTGTAAAATGGAAGAGGTTGGCTAAAATTGTATAACAGCTGCATGACTCTAATTCCTACATTCCATCAAAACCTGTATATATATCTAGAGTATTTATGTTGATATATTCGCACTATCCCAGCAATTGAAAAATGAAGATAATTTCACCCTATTTAAAATGTAGGGAAGGCAGTAGCAATATCAGTCAACTAACAAGCATTTATTAAGCATCTCCTGTTTTTCAAGCTCTGTGCTAGGTGCCAGGAATAAAATGAGGGTGGGTAAGGATGGAGGTTGGGAAAATAGGCATTTATATTACATATGCTATGTGCCAGGCACTGTGCTAAGCATTTTACAAATATTATCCCTTTTGATCCTCACAACAACCCTATGAAATAGTTGCTATTATTATCCCTGTTTTATAGTGAGGAGACTGAGGCAGATAGAGTTTAAATGAGCTCAAGGCTATGCAGCTAGTAAGTGTCTGAGACCAAATTTGAACTCAGTTTTCCTGACTTCAGGCCCAGTTCTCTATCCACAGCACCACCAGCTACCCCAATGAGACAAAAAGATAATGGCCTCTTCCCTCAAACAACTTGTATTTTAACAAGGGAGACAAAATGCACATATATAGGTATATGCAAAACATATGTAAAGCTAATACAAGGTAACCTTAGAGAGCAAGGCAGCAGTGGGAGACAAGAAGATGAGGATCAAGAAAGGCGTCATGCAGAAGGTAGTACTTGAGTGGAGTCTAAAAGGAAAGTTTGGAAGAGGGAAGGATTTAGGGGAAAGACAGTGGGGCAGCTGAGTGGCATAGTGGATAGAGAACTGGGCCTGAAGTCAGGAAAACCTGAGTTCAAATTTGGCCTCAGACACATAACACTTACTAGCTGTGTGACTCTGGGCAAGGCACTTAACCCCCATTGCTTCGCCAAAAAAAAGGAAAAAAAGAAAGATAGTGAGATTAGGGGAGAGAAGGCAGCAGAATTTGTTTATCTGGGAGTCATCTTCATCAAGATAATAATTAGTCCATGCAAACTGATGAGGTTACCAAGAGAGAGTCTAGAGGGAAGAAAGAAGAACAGAATTTTGGGGGAGATGCAGTGTTAGGGGACCTGATGTGGATGAATACCCAGCGAAGGACACCTGAAATTTTACAAAGAAGATTAGTTAACAATGGTGTTAATACCTAGGAAAATTAAAATTTTGTCACCTTACATTCATGCTTCATCTTCTTTTTCAGAACAGCAGTGCACTTGGTGTCCCATGCTAATGAAGAAGTAGCTTTTCTGTGCATTTTAGTTATGTGTCATTGACAGAAAGGGGGCTGTCAAGCAAGATCTTGGACAGGTCACTTAAACCACTCTCGACTTGGGTCTCCTTACCTTTAAGGTGATAGGGTTAAATGGAGGTGATCATTGAAGTCCCTTTCAACTCTAATAATCTATGAATTTCTGTAAATAAATATTTCTTGATTAACAAATTGATCTTCTAACATCAAGACCTTAGATGATGAGAAAAGATATGATTATATTAGTGGAATGGAAAGGATATTATTTTTAATGGGTGAAAGTTTCTCTCCTCTCCCTATGTAAATAAGTAGCTAATCTACATCTATTATCACTTGAAAATACTTCCATTGAAAAGGTACTTTAGTTATTCATCATCTTGCCATGTGTTGTGTTGTCTATTATCCCTTTCTCTATTGTTTTTTTTACATTCTTGGCACAGTTCAGTGGAGCAGGAGAGGAGAAGTTGAAACATGCAGCTGCCACCTTTTGTAGTAACCAGCCTTTTGCCCTGGAAATGATCAAGTCTCGTCAGAAAAAGGACTCTCGATTCCAGACTTTTGTGCAGGTGAATTGAGTTGCTGAGTCAGCAGTAAGAGCTAGTGCCAGTCCTGGCTCTTAACAAAGCTATGATAAACTAGGAGTATAATTAAGATTAAATCACTTAATAGAATTGTGTCTGGCATTGGTCTTAACATCAAGATTATTTCCAGCCCTAGATTATCTCCATTAAGTCATTTCTGGAGGGTAGACTATTAACATTGTGAAGTGGTTGATAATACTTTGATAAAAAGAGTATTTAATATCACGATGAAGACACCTGCCACAGATGTTCAGCAGTGCTATTGGTGTATGATCAGGAGATAGTTTGCCTCTGTTAGGATACTAGGGTGAAAGTAGTAGAACAAAAGTCTGACTCAAGAAAACACAATTACAGGCACATGCTTTGAGAAAGAGAATAATATAGATGCATTGTGTGCTGTGCCCATTTCAATGAAAAAATACCACATTAGTTCACTAATTTATCATAGGGAATGTCAAGCATCGTAAAATAATAGTTTGATTTTGGAAAATGGCATATAATTTAAAATTTTTTAATATGAAATTGATAGTGTCTCTAGAAAGCAGTGACTTCAATTTATTACAAATGATAACAGGTATCTGGAATGTGGGAAGGAAGCAATTGGTTTAATAGTTTAGTGATCATATTCTTCCTGTATTTGATTAAAGACATAATAGGTTTGTGAAGTGTTAATGATAAATCTTGGCATTTATTGCCTTTATTACTGGAAATGTGGGTACACACACACACACATACACATATATACATATATATTATGAATAGGTAGATTGTACATGTTCAGGTAATTACACCTTTAATATAAATGACAATTTCAGTTTAATTTTATACTCTTCAATTTTAGGATGCTGAGAGTAATCCACTGTGCCGTCGACTGCAGCTAAAGGATATTATTCCTACCCAAATGCAGAGGCTCACTAAATATCCCCTTCTGCTGGATAATATTGCTAAGTACACAGGTATAGTATTCCCACTTAAATGGAAAAAGTCATAAAATACTACCTCCTATTAATCTAACATAGATAAGGGGGGGTGCCCTTATCTGCAGACTTATTTTCCTTCTGTTTTCCCTTACCAAACCTCATACCAAGTCCTCTAATCCTTTGACCCCTCAGTTCTCTCCCAGGCCATCTCCCCTCCACTAACTACTTTCTCTTCTTTTCTCTCTGCTTTGTCTTATCAAAACCTACTTTTCATCCATTCCCTGATCTCTAATTCTTTGACCCCTCAGTTCTCTCCCTGGCCATTTGAAGTGCATATCTCACAATGTCACCCTCCACCCCTCACCCCACCCCTAACTCAGTCAACTCCGGAGATTCCCTATCACCTTAAGGATCAAAATACAAGAGGCTCTGTTGGTATTCAAAGTCCTTCATAAACTAGCCCCCTCCTATCTTTTCAGTCTTTTTACACCTTATTCCCCAACACATACTCTTTGATCCAGTGACACTGGCCTCCTGGCTGTTGCTCACACAAGGCACTCCATTTGTTGGCTCTGGATATTTACTCTGGCTATCCTCCATGCCTAGAATTCTCTTCCTCAGCTCTGCCTCCCGGCTTCCCTGGCTTCCTTCAAATACCAGCTAAAAGCCCATCTTTTACATCCATGGTATCAAACTCAAATAGAAACAGTCCCTGTGGGTTGCATATTGACTTGGAAAACCACAAATTAATATTATCTATGATGTATTATATTTTTATTTATTTTGTTAAGCATTTTCCAATTACATTTTATTTTGGTTCTGGAAGTTTTGCAGGTATTTGGGAGTGCTATGAGTCTGACACCTCTGTTCTTCAGGAAACCTTTCATAACCCCTCTTAATTCTAGTGCCTTCTCTTTCTTAATTATTTCCTGTTTACCATGTATATAGCTTGTTTGTACTTAATTTACTTGCTTGCTTTTCCCCACCATTAGACTGTAAGCTCTTTGAGGGCAGGGACTATTTTTTGCCTCTTTTGTATCCCCAGTCCTAAGCGTAGTGCTTGGCGTATAGAAGGCACTTAATAAGTATTTATTGACTGACTGTCTGACCAAATGATATGGCAGGATTCAAGATATTACTTAATTTACTTTGTAGCCTCTTTAAAATGGCATGTGCTGGTATTGTGTAGTACGTGCTATACCAGGGTCAGAGGAAATTTTGTCTTTTGTATAAATTTGTATAAATTATGTTGGAGAAGAGGGAGGTCCTGAGGAGACAGTTGATAAGATCATCATTTCCTAAACTATACATCAGACCGGTAATATGTTTGAATTATCTACTGAGGACCCTCCTGGGCAATTTCAAATACCTCAAGGGCAGAGGTTGGAATCTTAGAGTAGAGAAAGCTAGGGATTGGAAAGGAAAGACAGAGAAAATTGCTGAAAAAAAAGTTTTTTATAGCTTTTTGAGTCTGTTTTTAAGAAGTAACAGTCTTTTGTTAGTAAATGTTTAATGAATTGGTGGAAATTTGCCAAGCCCTGGTAATTGTGAAACATTGGACTAAATGTTCTTTTTAAGAGTACTTCTAGGTTCAGTTGCCTATGTATGGCTCTTTGATTCTGTTCAGTCCTTACAGAGATGCATAAAGTACTTACTGTATTAGTGTAGTACTGACTTGCCTTTAGTGAAAAGTGAAACAAAGTCTGTTTTCTTCAGTCCTCCTTTAGGGTCATGTGCTTGTAGCTTTTTAAATAATTTAGCGCAACTAAGCTTTTGCTCATCTAATGTTATATCTCAAAATTTGAATATACAAATCAGGAAATTGAAAATTATAGTTCTTCCTAGAAACAATAGCTTACTCCTTATTGTACAAGTAGGATTTTGTCTTACTAAAAATTCCATTGAATTTTATGTGACTGGATTATAGTTGTCTGGGGAATTATAACTTTGATAATTGATTTTAGCATCCCTTAAATTCTCAGCAAGAGTGTAACATTCATATACCTTTCATTGAATTTCTTTTTAATGATGTGAATTTTGTAGACCACTTTTTACTCTGTTTAAACTTGATTTCACATTCAATGAAATACTTTTTATGGAATTATTTGGATTCATAGCACTCTTCAAACAATTACATCTTAAAATAAATATGATTCTTTACATATAGAGCTCTATACCCTGACTCTTTATTGTTTAAAATAGTGCTGTTAGCAGAAGTATTTTGTTGTACTGTTTTTATAGCTTTACTGCCAAGCAAAATGTTTTCAAACCTGTTTAGTGACTTGTCATTGAGCAAGACTGTCATGACATTTTTGAACTTATAAATAAATTATTTTTCAACTAGATAGGAAAAAAAATATTGGAGCATTGATTTAATGTATTGGAATCAAATTCCATTTTTCATCTCCTCATCAAATTACTACCGTTTTGCTTTTTTCTATGTTGCCCAATTTCAGAACGGCCAAAGGAAAGAGAAAAGGTGAAAAAAGCAGCAGATCACTGTCGTCAAATCCTAAATTATGTGAATCAAGCTGTCAAGGAGGCAGAGAACAAACAGGTAAAGAGCAAAAAACACCTAACTATAAAGACAGCAAGGGGAGGAAAAGGTGGGACTGGTAAAAGAGAAACAGATATACCTGAAATACCAGCTGTTTTAGTTACAGGAAAAGACTTTATTTCTGTAACTGGTATATCAAGGTCATTGTGCCTTGGTACAGCAACAGGTCACAATACTATTTGAGCATCACTTCACCAGAGCAATAACCCTGGCTTCATGTTATCTCATTTCCAGCGCTTAGAAGATTACCAGCGTCGCCTTGATACATCTAACTTGAAGCTGTCAGAGTATCCAAATGTTGAAGAACTCAGGGTGAGAGAGGTCTAATGGTCTTAATAGTTTTCATAGAGTTCAGTTTAACAGAAGAGTGATAGGTAACCAAACTTTGTTAGAGTTTATGATCACGTAAAGAAGACATGACATATTGTGCACGTTTGTATTTTTGATGTTCCTTTAAACCTCTGTACCATATTGCAATGGTAGCTCATTTAGAGAAATGTTTGTATGGTACTCTCTACTCTTTTGCCCATCAGGGTGGAAGAAACTTCCAAAAGCTCAGAAATCCTAATTATACTTGAATTTCTAAAAAAAATTTGTTCTGTAGTTTGTGCAGAAGTGCTGTTTACTGAATGGATTTCCCAGATTATTGGGTTGAACAAGATATTTTAATAGTCTTTCCTTAAAGTTCTAAAGCACAGAAAAGCTCAACTTCTATAATTGTGACAGTAAACAATGGTAAAACCTATACTAAATACTGTACTTCTGGTAGTATTATTTCTTCATGACTACTTTTGAGTATCCCTAAAGATATAATTTTATTAAAAATGCTACCCTTACTATGTAGCCAGTTTAGGTAGATCTCTTGAATAGATATTTAAAACAGACTTCATTGTGTGGTATAACTTTTCACAGATAAGCATGTTTTAATATGTTTACTCTCTTTTTATTGTCCTAACACTCTTCTTTTGTGGCTAAATGAATGACAGAAAGAGAATTTTTATGTTAATAATTGGTAATATTTGAAGCTTCTTGGTCATCTAGGCTTTTAAGACTGAATATGAGCAATGATCCTTATGGGCCCAAGTATATATATTCAAGATCTGGTGACTGGGTGAAGTAGTTAGCTCATGATAATAATAAGATTGAGGAAACAGGTCTTGCAATTGCTTTTCTGAGGTATCTCTGTTCCTTTGTATCATTTTATTTTAATTACTCTGTCTCTGTATTTTATCCCTTGTTCAGATAATTTAGGAAGAATAATGCCTGCTCTGTATGAATAGTTTGAATTTAAATAACAAATATACTTATTGCATTGATGATGGTAATGATGAAGGTAAAAGTTTTGGCAAAGTTATCTCACTCAGGGAGTCACTTGTGTTTGCTTTTTTCATTTTGACAGAATTTGGATTTAACAAAGAGGAAGATGATTCACGAAGGACCATTGGTATGGAAGGTGAATAGAGATAAGACTATTGGTAGGTTGGATGTCTTTTTACAGTTGTTTTTTCCTTTTTTTCCCACTAGGGAGAAAGGGAATGTAGAAGTGGAATTGAGAGGAAGGTGAAATTCCCTTGAGGAGAAGAGGCTTGTTTTTCATGCTTTCAAGTAATGTCAAATTGCAGTGCTACCATGAACAACTTGTAAATGTGAAGATCTGTTTTTTTCTCTCTCTCTTTTTTTTAAGGCAGTTGGGGTTAAGTGACTTGCTCAGGGTCACACAGCTATTAAGTGTCAAGTGTTTGGTCTGAGGCCGGGTTTGAACTCAGGTCTTCCTGACTTCAAGGCTGGTGCTCTATCTACTGCACTGCCTAGCTGCCCCTGAAGATCTGTTTTTTAAGGGTTGTTTTTTCGCTTATTTGTTTTGGTTAGTTTTGAAATGTGTCATATAGTGCTTACTATGTGCCAGGCACTATGTGCTAAGCACAAAACTAATAGCTAACATTTATATAACATTTAATATGAATATCATCCTGGAGATAGCAATTGGCTTTGTCATGATCTGATTATATCTCTACCCAAGTACTATTTTAAAAAAAGTAATTGTAAGCATTTCATTTGTAAGCAACGGAAGTTTAACATAGGTAGTTAAAAGTTCTGGACACAGAGTCAGGAGGATTTGAATTTGAATCCTGCCTCTAACACTTAATGACTGACTGTGGGCAAGTCATTTAATCTTTATCCATGTTTCAAGTGGGGATAATGAAACCTGTACTGCTGACTTTACTGGGTTGTTTTGAGGCTTAAGTGAAATAATATATTAGAATGTGAGTCCCCCATTAGATTGTGAGCTCCTTGTGATTCCTCTTTTTGTGTCCCTAGTGCTTAGCATAGTGCCTGGTGTGTCATAGGTACTTATGAAATATGTATTGATTGAGATGCTTTGCAATTCTTAAAGTGATATGTGAATTTGGGCTACTATAAGGAAGCAAACTGATTATTGGGTGTCATATGTCATCATACTGCTTTTTTCCCCTCATAAAGTTGGGTATGAATGTGTGGTACCTTCTCTTTTGTAGATCTATACACATTGTTGCTGGAGGACATCCTTGTATTGTTACAAAAGCAGGATGATAGACTGGTGTTGAGGTGTCATAGTAAAATTCTAGCATCTACAGCAGATAGCAAACACACATTCAGCCCTGTGATCAAATTGAATACTGTGTTGGTTCGACAAGTTGCGACAGGCAAGTACTAAACTACAACTTATGGTTCATTATAAAGTTACTTTAGAAATAGCACGTTGTCTAGTTAGGAAAAGGGACCTCAAATTCTGCCCTTGGGTAAACCTGGAGAAACTTCACGAGCTTTGTTTCCTGTTTGTAAAGTGAAGCAATAATACATATACATATACATATACATATACATATACATATACATATCTGTCGTAAGAGACTTGAGATACCTAGATTCTCTGAGCTTTCCTACCATGTGCCATTATGTACATGAAGAGTAGTAAGCTTTTTTTGTCTTAGGTAAAATAAATGAACATTTAAGAATTTAGAATAGTTGAAGTTGGAAAGTCACATCTATAATGTAAAATGAATACAATGCTTGATTCAATAATATCAGTACTCAACATCCCCTTGGGGGTCACAAATATTTCTGTTTGATCCATGATGGAATAACTTTTTATTCACTCTCTTCCAGATAACAAAGCATTATTCGTCATCTCTATGTCAGATAATGGAGCCCAAATTTATGAATTGGTGGCACAGACAGTTTCTGAAAAGGCAGTGTAAGTGAGAGTCTCAACTATATTTTTCAACCTAATATTTTCTGTTAGATTCAAAGCACAATATTTCACAAACTTGATTAGTTTAATGGTTAGAAGTAGTTGGACTACAAAAACACTGACTGTAAACTGAATAGCTTCCCCACTCCAATCTTTGAGGAAGTTTATCCTCTTCTGGGGCAGGGATTGTTTTGTTTTATTGTCCTTGTATTCTCAGCACCCACCACAAGCTTACTAAGTTACTTTAATAAATGTTTGTTGAATTAAATTTAATCTCTTCATAAATTTTCTTTTCATAACATTGTCTCAAGTTTCTAGTGGATCCTTTAAATAGATTACTGTATTACTGTTAGTTTTTTTGTTGAGATATGACTTTGGCATCTGCACTTTGCTACATAAGAAATTTCTTCTTTGCAAATTTGAAAGTTACTTTCTTTTTCCAAGTTGTGTTGGATGTGGCTTTTCTCATCTTCTTATTTTTTCTCTTCTTCCCCTCCCTCCTCCCCTGGGCCACTCCCCCACTCCCATCCCTACTCAACAACTTCTTGGAACTTCCTGCAGCTGGCAGGACTTGATTGGCAGGATGGCCCTCTCCGTAAAGGAACAGTCCACAAAGCCCATTCCACTACCAGAGTCAACCCCCTGCGAGTGAGTCTTTGCTTTGATTTTTGATTACCATGATTTTGTATTGTGTACATTTTGGTGCAGCGATATTAGGTACTTGATGGTTATGAAAAATGGCCTTTATCTTTCTGTAGAGGGGAGCGTGATGAAGAAGAAGCTTCAAAGCTGAAGGAGGAGTCACGTGGTGTTTCTACCTCTAGTCTTCAAAGTCCAGGTGAGCTTATTCCTGTTAGCTCAAGAGAAATGTGATCAATATACCTTATTAAATTTTTAAGGAATCTTTGAAGAACTCTGTAGTTCATAGATTTAGGCTACGGATCTAACATGGCAGGATTGTCAGGATAGCCCATGCACTTGAAATTCCATTTGAATTCTTTAGGTTGAGAATTATAAACTTTGCTAGGGATGGCTTTCTTTGCTTCTTGCTAAGTTTCTGTTTAAGATACTGAAACATAAGTTATATAGAATTTCTTTTATCATTTGGGGAGCATGTGAGGGCATTACTTTGGTATTTGGGGCCCTACTGTTTATAAACATCATGCCTTTTATTCCCTATTGAGCAGAAAAACACATGGGAACAGATACTCCTTTAATGTCAAAACCTCAGTCCCCTTCATCAGTTACCTCTGGGAAATCAGAGATCAATGATCTACTGGCTGAAAGACAGTTTGAAAAGGAACAAACAGAAGAGACCTCTAAAGAGTCTGGAATGGACTATCAGAGTACTATACCAGAGCCACATTTCCCTGTCTCTGAAGAGCGGTGGGCATTGGATGCACTGAGGAACTGTAAGTGATTCAGTCAATCAGTCACATACTTTGTGTAAGGCATTGTACCATGAGGATAAGAGAGAATCCCTGCTCTCAGAGATTTTAACAGTCTAACTGAAATAACAAGGCAGCATAGTGTAATTGAAAGTGCTAGATTCAGAGTTAGATCTTGGATCTGCTCTTACTGCCTAGATGACTTTAGGCTACTTAGCTCCTCTGGGCCTCACTTTCTTCATCTGCAAAATCAAGGTGTTGGACTAGGTGATCTCTAAAGTCCCTTCTAATGCTAAATCCTTTAGTCTTATGTTTGTTATGACTTAAAAGCAAAACTTGACAGTAAGCAACAGTATGTTTCAAGTATATAATAAATGATGGAGACATTAACAACTGAAAAGTTTAGAGATTGCCATGGGCTGAGGTGACAAGGGATGTTATCATTGAGTAGTTAGAATTTGTTCAGTGGCTTGAAAAATGGATAGGCATGAAGGCAGAAAAGCATGAGTCTTGATTGGGAGATAATGGAGTAGACTAGTCTGACTAAAGTAGAGGATTCATGCAAATGAGTACAGTTGATAAAATTAGAAGAATTAGATTGAGGCCAGATCATGCAAGGCCTATAGATAGAGAGGAGCAACAAAAGGTGTTTGGGCAGAGAAATGATATTATGACAGTGGCATTTTAGGAAGATTAAGTTGATGGCAATATGCAAGATGGATTTGAGCAAGTAAAGATCAGAACAGCAGGTCATAGTAAGTAAGATATTGCCTTGCGATGTAAGGTTAGAAGAGCTCAAACTTGGATGGTAGCAGTGATGGAAATGAAGATTTTAGCAGTACTCTAAGGGAAGAATCCACAGAATTTGGTGACTAGATGGAGGTAAGGTAGAGGGGAGGAAGGGAGGAGTCAAAGATGACATCAATGTTTTACCTTTGAATGATAGAAAGAATGATAGTGATATTAATAGCATCAACAAAGGGAAGAGGGAAGCTTGAGTTGTATCTTATATATGTTGAGCTTCAGATTGTGGCAATATATCCATGTGAAAATGTCTGTCTACCAAGAATTTGGAGATGTGGGACTGCAGTATGTGGAAGAAAATAGGTCTGGAGATTTAAACTTGGGAATCATCCATGTAGAAGTAACAGTTAAAGCTCTTGGGGTGACTGGAAGCTCTGAAGGAGAATTTCAAGAGTAGAAGAACAGGGGACTGAGAGTAGATCTTGGAGATGGTGAGAATTAGTCCCTGGGAGGGACACAGAAGATTAACTCAAAACTCAGGAGCCTTGTATAATCTATTAAATCTATTTTGAGCCTCTCCCTGTTATCTAATTTCTGGATATTTTTACACGCTCCTGGTAACTTCCTCATTGTAAAGGTTACGGCAAGATATACTTTGCAGCTCAGAATTTACTCTTAATTTTTTTAATTTAAAATAAACTAAGGAAAATGTCCTTTGTCATTGACAGTGTAGTTTTACCAGAACTCATCAAAACTTATCCTTTGGCTGCATTTTTCAAATATATAAGGAACTCGGCCAAATTTATAAAAATATGAACCATTCCCTAATTGATAAATGGTCAAAGGATATAAACAGGCAATTTTCAGGAGAAGAAATCAAAGCTATCAATAGTTATATGAGAAAATGCTCTAAATCACTTAGGAGAAATGAAATTGAAACAATTCTGGGGTACCATCTCACACCTATCAGATTAGCTAACATGTCAGAAAAGGAAAATGACACATTCTGAGGGGATGTGGAAAAATTGGGACACTAATGCACTGGTGATGGAGCTATGAACTGGTCCAACCATTCTGGCGAACAGAAACTATGCCCCAAGGACTATAAAACTGTGCATACCCTTTGATCCAGCAATACCATTAGTAGGTCTGTCAAAGAGATTATATAAAAGGGAAAAGGACCTACCTATCAAAAACATTTATAGCAGCTCTTTTTGTGGTGGCAAAGAATTGGAAATTGAAGGGATGCCCATCAATTGGGGAATGGCTGAACAAGTTGAGGATTATGATTGTAATGGAATACTATTGTGCTATAAGAAATGATGAGCAGGATAATTTCAGAAAAACCTGGGAAAATTTGCAGTGAACTCTTGCAAAGTGAAGTGAGCAGAACAAAGAGAACATTTTGTATAGCAACAGCAATATTGTACGAGGATCAGCAGTGAATGACTCAGCTTTTCTCAGCAATAATACAGTGATCCAAGATAGTCCCAAAGGACTCCTGATGAAAAATGCTGTCCACTCCAGAGAGAGAGAATTAATGGACTCTGGGTGCAGATGGAAGCTTCTTTTTTATACTTTCTTTATTTTCCTTGTATATGTATGTGTGTGTTTTTCTTTTACAACATGTCTAACATGGAAATTTTTTTAAAAAAATGTACAGTTAAGCAAAATAAACTCTTGTATATGTCCAGAATCAGTCTTTAAAAAAAAAAACCAGAAAAATATTGTCCTTTGGTTAATTTCTACTACATGACTAAATTACTGGAACCAAAGAAAATTGTGGAGCATTTTCATTTTTCTTCTTAACACCCAAGGGAAATTCCTTAGGTTATTTTTTTAAATAGCAAAATAATAATTGAGTTTGGGTGTATTTCATGAGAAATTTTCTTTGGAGTCCTTTATTTAAAGTGTTCTTTGCACATTGCAGATTAGCATGAAGTGATGATCAGTGTTTTTCAAAAGTTCATTTCAATGTTAGAATCAAATATTTTCACTACTGGTATTAAGACAATTTTGCTTGGAGTCTTTTTAATATATTTTTACAGGTAAAAATATTCTTGCCTTGCCAAATCCAAATCTCAGATTACTCCCATATTTGCCTTGTCTGCTGCTGCTAACATACTTCTGAATGGATTTGAGGAAATCAGGCACCTAAGCAGACTATGTCCACTACAGATTTATGCTATCTAATTTCCATTGGTCTCTCACCTCAACAAGATAATTGCTTTCCTCCTCCTTAATTGATTCTCTATCCTTCTTTGCACAGAGGCTGTTCAAAACTTCTCTTCTCTGCTCAAGCCTCCCACAGCACCACTTTGTCAACCCTCTCATCTGAGAACCTTACCTCAGACTTGACTGATGGAGAACATTTGTCATGAGACCTTTTCTCTCTGCTATATCGTACAACCTTCTGATATCATGCCTCACTCTCTTCTTCTTTATTCTGTGATAATTAGGTGGCCCTTTTATCTCAGCCAAAGCTAACCCCTCTACAAGTGACCTTGATTCCATCCCCTTTGGTGTTTTCCATCAAATTCATATTGTCTGTCTGTCTGTCTGTCTGTCTCTCTGTCTCTCTGTCTCTGTCTCTGTCTCTCTCCCTCTCCCCTCCCCTTCCCCCTCCCTCATTCCCTTCCTCCTTCCCCTTCCCCCCGGCTTCCTCCTTCAATTTGTCACTCTCACCTAGTTCCTTTCCTGATACCTAGCATCTCCTTATCCTGTCAGTCTGTATCTTGCCTCCCTTTCATAACCAAACTCCTAGAAAAGCTATTTACAGATGTTGCCTCTGCGCTCTCTCTTCTCTCATGCTTTTCCACCTTTTGCAGTGTGGCTTTCAACCTCAATCCTCAACCGAAACTTCTCTCTCTAAAATTGCTGGTGATCTCTTTATTGCCAAAGCTCATAGCTTTTTCTTAATTCTTATCCTTCTTGACCTCTCTGGAGCATTTGACATTTGACCACACTTCTGGATACTCTCTACTCTCTGGATTTTCGTGACACTTCTCTCTCTCGGTTCTTCTCCTACTTATCTCCTCAGTCTCCTTTTCTGATCCATCTCAGATATCATAACTCCTAACTGTGGGTGTATCCCAAGACTGTGTCCTCTCATTCATTAGCTTCCAAGGATATAACTATCATCTTGATGCAGACGACTCCCACATCTATCCAGCCCTCATCTTTTTCCTGAGCTACAGCTATTTCTTTTCCATCTGCCTCTTGGATATTTCAAACTGGATATATTATAGGTATCTCAAACTTAGCATTGAAATTGAAATAAAATTGCACTAGTTCTCTTTCCCCCAAAAGACCATCTCCCTTCTGAATTCTCTCTTTCTACTGAAGGCAATCTAGATTCTCAGCTTCAGTATTGTCACTGACTCCTCACTCTTCCTTGCTTGATATCAATTGTTAAATCCTGTTGATCCCACCTCCTTGACATCTCTCACCTCTGTTCCCTTCTCTTTATTACCACCCTAGTTTAGGCTTTTCTCACATTTTTGCCTGGACTCTTACAGTAGCCTTCTCATTGGTCTTCAAGTTACAAGTCTTTTTCTTCTCCAGACTACCTTCCTGCCAAAATTGTTTTTACTATACTCCAAGGGATCTCTTTTGCCTCCAAGGTGAAATATAAGCTCCTCTATTTAGCTTTTAAAACCCTTTGCAACTTGGTCCATCCTCCCTTTCCGGTCTATGTTATGCATGATTCTCTTCTACACACAGATTGATCTTCTTACATTTCTCCTGTATGACATGCCAGCTTCCATCTCTGCACCTTTCATTACCTGTCTCTCATATGCTGAGAATGCACCCTGCATTTTACTTCTTCTTTGCCTTTACAACTTGTAGTTCCTTTTTTTTTTGTTTGTGCTGCATAGGTCATATAGAATACATGAATCCTTTCTTAATTCCTTAATTCTCCCCAATTTACTCTGTATCTCTTTTGGTCTCACCCAATGGAAGGTTAGCTCCTCAAAGGCAAGGAGTGTTTCATTTTCATCTTTGTATCCCTCTTACTGACTGAGGATAGTGTCTGGAGCATTGCTGATACTTAATAAATGCGTGTTGGTTGATTGGATGGTACAAGGAGAGTGTCGTAGAGCTAGCTAATCATTGTGAAAATGACTTATATGCACATACAGTGATCCACTTCTGAGGTATCCAGGTAACCTAGCGAAGTGATAAGTTTTCAGTCAAAATTTTAAAAAGTATTAAACCTGACTCTATATTGTATTGCCAACTTTCTTACAATTGTGGACTCAGATATGATGAAAGAAAAGAGATCATCAACTAAAATTTTTGTAATATGCTTACTATAGTTAATAGGAAAAATCTGATTCTAACTAAAATTATTTTCTTGAATTGTTACAGCTGTTATTAAGTCCTTAGCATTTTGAATGTTCTGATTTAACACCCTCTACTATTCAGCCAATTTATTAATTGCTTGCTGTGTGCTAGAGATTTTTCCAAGCACTGAAGATACTAAGACATAAATGGAATATTCTCATTGTTAAGGAGCTTACCTTCTATAGGAGAGAAAACATGGATACAGAGAAGTCTATGCAAAATAAATGTGATTTAATGGGGAGGGGAGTGAAGGCAGTGATGGCAGGGGCGTTGGGAAAAGACTGAGAGAAAGAAGCCTCTGAACTGAACTTTGAAGGAAACTAGCAAAGGTAAGGGAGGAGTACCCTGCATTCCAGGCAGGGAGGATTAGTCTGTCGAAAGGAACAGAAATGGAAGATGGAATGTCATGTATAGAGAACAGCAAGAAAGTCAGTTTGGCTACATCAGAATTCATGAAGGGGATTAATTAATAGGTTTGGAAAGATACAGAAGAACCAGGTTACAAAGGGCTTCAAATCACAGGAGAGTTTTCCTTTGATCTTAGAAGAAATAGGGAGTCACTTGAGCTGATTGAGCAGAGCGGCAGAATGGTAAGACCTGTGCTTAAGGAACTCCAAGAGAATTACCAAAAAATAGGACTCCTTGTATTTACATAGCCTCTATTTCTGAGTAGCTCAAAAAAATTCATGCTTTTTTTGTTTTTTAACCTAATTTTCTCAGTATACCTAGAAAGTAGAGGAAATTAAGTCACTAGTATCTAGGTAACTTGCCCAGGTCATGTAGAAAGTTCATGAAGGTGCCATAATGCAACTCAATGATATCTGCTGGCTCTAAGGCCAAACTTAAATGCACCATAGGTGCACTTGGCAGTTTATTTCAGTGTTTTAAATACCAAAGCATATACAAAATTACCTTAGCATTTGGTACTTCTGTTATTAGAAACTCTTTTGTTTATTAGATGTTAATAAGTGCTTATTGATTGATTTGCATTTAGAAATGGCTTGGCCACTCAACTGAATCCTGATAGAAACTGGTGAATGTCCTTTTTTTCTTTTTTCTTTTAGTGGGTCTGTTGAAGCAGTTGCTGGTACAGCAGCTAGGTTTGACTGAGAAGAGGACTCATGAAGACTGGCAGCATTTCCTCAGGTTTAGGACAGCCTCTCAGGGGGTACAGGTAGAAAGTCCAGGTGCAATCCAAAATGTCCTAGACCACTCTGAAAATAATAAGACCAGAGAACCTGTTGAAGGACAGATGCCCCTCCCAACCGGAACTGGCGAAATTGCTGCATATTACAGCCCAAGGACTTCAATTGAATCCCCAGTTCCACAGGATTATATGGAACTGGCATCTCAAGATAGCAGGGCAAGTAATGTTTTAGTCATGGACCACATGATCATGACCCCAGAGCCGTCTAGCACAGAGCTAGAAGGGGGTCCTGATGACAGCGGAGAGCACTTTTTTGATGCCCGTGAAGCCCATAGTGATGATAATCCTTCAGAAAGCGATGGGACAGAAAGAAAGGAAGAGGATGCTCTTCAGTTACGGATCTCAGGCAAGTTCATTATGAACCAGTTCTGATGACAATATATTGTTTCTTCATCTGGAGTAGATGATGTCCTGGTATACATGTATCAAGAAGGATGGATAAAAAGTATTGAATTATTTTCTTAACTTGTGTAGAATGTGTAGTATTTTAAAATTCTAATTGTACCTGAAATTGTTAAATAGTACTAGCCGCGGCATGGTTAAATTTGGGTATTTGGGTGTTTATAGACTTGCCCAATATCAGCTCTCTGACTTGTCAGCTGTTGAAAGTAGTGGTAACTTCTTCTCTTGCTCCATCAACAGGAAACGTTCTGATCCTTGATGGCTTTGAAACAGTGCAGGAGAGCTCTACAGAGGAAGAAGTTGGTTCAGGCCTCCCTTCTGTGGGTTGGGCTCACCAGCAGCAACCTCTCCACCATCCCCGGTCTGATGGAGGGGGCTCTTCATTCACCTCTGAATTCCTAGTCCAGCAGCGCTGGGGACCTGGGGAGGAGTCTGGCTTCAGTGCCCAGAGTCCCTCTTCCACTGCAGACTCACACAGCCAAATCATGCAGTACATTCGGAAGATAGAGGCTGACCTTGAACACTTAAAGGTATCCACTGCTGCTTTTTTAAAGCCTGTTTCAGCATCCCTAATGCTTACTTCTAAGTGGCAAGTGCTGCAGAATGGAAGCAAAGAAAGAATGAAACAGTGATGTCAGTAAACCTGGTAGAATCTGAATACGTGTGCTCGCCTTGTCCATGGAGAGGACAGGCGGCTGGGCTTCTCAGGTTGTGAAATCACAAGGATGGGAAACATTCTTCTGTGTCTGTTTTCTTGTTATGTTTCTAGGTTAAAAGTTCTGAATGTATATGATTTTCTTGGCTGATATGTGAGAAGATTTGAGTGATATGCTAAGATAGGTGATATCTATATTATTATAAATCTAGGCCAGGAAAAGCCATAACTTGCTATTGCCTATTATTTGTTTTGTAACACATTGTGGTGGCGGTACTAGCTTTTTGAGTCTTATGATGGATGAAGAAAGCTTTAGTGGCATTTAGACTGAGCCTAAAGCCTTTTCCTTTGACAGTCCCAGCATTGAAGGAGAATTTTGGCAAGTGAACAGAAGTTCACTAGGTCATCTTAGATTTTAAAGGCTAGTTTCAACAAAAGTTGAGAGACTCATTCCTAGTAGTAAAGGGGCAGAGTATGGGGTGAATAAATAGACTGCCATTTTGCTAAATCGACCTCCTTATCCCATACATTTTCTCATTGTCCTTTTTTGTATGGTTTCTACAAGCTAAGAGATTGTGCCAACTTTGACTTATGTTTTTGGAAGTTTGGTGTATTACAGGATTAATAACGGTTTGAAAACCCTTGTTTTTTGAGGAATTGGATCACATTTTAGTATATGCCACCTTGGTCTGTGGTAGAGAGAGATGTTAAAGAGCCTAGATGTATTATAGGTATGTTGTACCTGTAAGCTAGAATAAATAGCTATGGGAGGAAAGGGGGAAGGTAGGAATGTTCTAGCATTTTGACAGTCTAATCATATTTTGACTTCATTTGGATGTATTTTCTTGATTTTTATGCAGTGTTATATAGTGTTGCCCTGTAGCTGATGAAATGTCTGAAATTTCATTTGTAAGGAGACTAATTCTGATGAACCTCATGTTATACAACATAAAACAGTTAATAAGGCAGCTTAACAAAAACCTTTGTTGGGGATCTTATATGTTTGTTTTTCCTTTTTTGCACACTCAAATGGATCTGTAATTTCAGTGATTCAGGAGTACCCTCTAACAATAATGCACATGATTACTCATCCATGCCTGCCATTCCTATTTAACTTCTATCCATGTTCTATCAAAATTTTGGCACAGGGGTCAGCCCAGTGTGCTATAGGACTTTCTCTTGACTTTGTAGGGGTACCAGGAATGCTCTAGCTGTCCACCTGCCATCCCTTGTTCTTGCTATCTGATTAACCCATCTTTCTTATGTATCGCTTCTAAATTATTCATAGCATAGGGTTGTAAGAGAAATGAAAGTTGTTCTTTTTCGTAGGCAAAATTTCTAAACAAGATAATGTTCTTATTTGAAGGCATATAAGTGAAATAAGTAAATACTAAAGCAGTTTTGCACTGTTATTGCATAACACGCTTTATTTCTCCTTAGTCTTCCCTCTCCTCACCCTCAAAATCAGATGAAAATCATATGGGTTGTGTTTTACAGAAGGTGGAGGAAAGTTACCTGACTCTTTGCCAAAGGCTGGCTGGATCAGCCCTCACAGAGGAGCACTCAGGTATGTAAAATCTACATGCTCTTATGTGATCGTATGTTTTCTTCAGTTAGCAGCTCTACTGTCATTACATCTCTCCTTCTCACCTTTTTCAAGAGCCAGGGATTAGAAAAATAGTAGATTAGAAAATCATGAGTACAGTAGTGAAAGATTTACTAATTATTCTCTGTTTTCTAATGATAGAGAAAATGGGTCTCCCTTGGCTTTTGTAACATTTCTGTGTTCTTTATGTGAACAAGGAGTTTACAAAAGGGTTTCCCTATGCCTTTGCATGTGTCTTTACCCAATGTAGATGTTATGATGTGTTATTTAGCATATCTCCATAAGGTTAATTGGTTCAGCAAAGATATATCACCAAGACAATGTTTTTGTCCATTTGTAACATTTGTTGTCCATTTGTTTGTCCATTTGTAACAGGCCTCTAGCATAGGCCTGCACAACCTTCTGCCCATAGACTGCTTGTGACCCGCTGGCATGCCCAAAAGCCTTTGGCATGTGAAAAAAGTAGTTTTAGAGTTTCCTGCTACGTTGTTTGCAGGCCCCTTGAAATCCTTTGGCGTGCCGCAAGCAGCCAGCAGGCCACAGTTGTGCAGGCCTATTATAGCAAGGTTCATGACATCATGGTAGGATTTAGTTATGCCTTATTGACTTTGTTGCACAGTGACATCAGAGTACACCTGTACTTTCTGATACAGAGCCATGTGTGTGTGTGTGTAAATATTAGAGTGCATGTTATTAAAGTCCTGGGAACCATTTCCCCTGACTCACTCTGGTCTCCTCATGTCTTGCTCCTTCCCAGATAAAAGTTAAAGCCACAGCTCTTCTTGGTGGCTGAAGGTTGGATCCTGAGCCTCAGCCTTGCCCCACCACGTCCTGGCTCCACAGTGGACTAGGAGAGAGTGTGTGACGGAGGATCTTCCTGTGGACCATCTGAGTGCTAGCTATGTCCCAGTATGCTCAAAGCGGGAATCATTTGTTCCCAGCATGGCAGCTGCACTTGTCTGTCAGTGAGGGAGTGTCCATTCTCTCATCTTCTTCCCCTCACTATCGGAAATTCATCTTGATTTCAGAACAAAAACCAAATGTACAGAGCTTTGGGTGTAGGATATAAAAAAATGTATTTAGGCATTTGAAAAAAAAGAAAAAAGAATCAGATGTATTTATTTGACTTCATTCCACATTTTGAAAGCACATTTTAATTTTAATTTTGCTTTTATGGTTTTGTTTTAATTGTGTGGCAAGCGTTTTAGCCCTTTTTATTTAGTACACCCAAGGATCAGCTGCTCCTGAAATCACAGTTCAGGCCTAGGGGTTGGGGTGGTTTGGGGAGAGCATGAGGGAACTAGGGTGTTTTGGTTTCACTGGACTGAATTTTAGCACTCCCTGCTAGCCCCTAGACTGCTTCTTGAAGGGCTACTTCCCTATGGTTTTCATGTACAGAATGACTATATTTAAGAGGGGTCAGATAGAAGATGAGCTTCCTATCTGTGGGGCAGGCATCCATCTTCTGTAGCTAAGGTCACCTCCTATGTCACAAAAATTCTTAATGCACTAAATAGCCAGGCACTTGAAAATTGATTTATTCCCTTCCCTGCCCCGCACCTACTTGCCCTCCCAATTTACTCTTCTTTTCTTCTCTTCCATCAAATCATGGAATCTGAGAGGGAAAAGAGAAGCCAAGTTTTATTTTCTTGACTGTAAAATAGTCTAGATGTTGTTTAATTTTTACAGTTATACATAGGGCTTTGGCACTTGCATGAATTATCCCTACAACTTGAGCAGAAAAATAAAAGTGGAAATGCTTCAGAGAGAGGGAAATGGTAGGGCTGGGGGAGAGGGGGGCGGGGATGGGATGGAGAAAAGGGTAGAGAGGTTGGAAAGTGTATGTGTCAAACTGAATCACTACTGAGCTGAACCATGGCTTCATTAGCCACGGGTACTGCTGATTATAGGGCCAGTAAGTTTTTAGTACCTGGAGGTTTGACTCTGATTTTTGCACTGATTGTGCCAAAATGCTCTCTACTTGTATTGCAAAGAGAGTCAAGGCTGGAATGGAAAGAAATGCAGTGGAGAAGACAGAATTGCCCAAACCAGCTCTGTAAGCACTTGCTTTGGCTTTACTGCTGTAGCCCTTTCCATCTTGGGAGCAAGACTGACCTTGCAAATTGAAACCTGCAGATCAATACCAGAACATACACTGAACCCTCCAGGCTGGTTCTGGATACTGCCTGCACTAGGGTTAGTAGCAGCATTGGCAGTATCCTACAGAGGATAGCAGTTTCAGAACTGTCACTTGAAAATATCTTCAGTCACAGTCTTTGAACAGTATTCTTTGTGCATCAGGTAAAAAAAGCTTTGGAGGTTTTTTTTGTTTTGTTTTGTTTTTGCCAATTAAAAACATGTGCCAAATCTGCAAAATCCTGTTCCTATACAAAGCATTCATTTCATCACATCTTCCAGTAGTGTCTTCCACTTTCTGTGAATGGTCAGTGTGTGATTTTTACTCCCTTCTTAACTGTCACAAAGAAATCAGATTTATCTCATCATAAATGGCAGGAATTCCCAGCTGCTTGTCAAGTATCATGAAACTACAACTTAACCAGCTCATCTGACTACATCAAGTTCCCTGCCTGTGTTTTGTCACCTAAGCTATGCTTTTTGGACATGGCCACAATCACTTATTTGGGAATATGCCTGTAGACTGGAACTGCATCTCAGATTATAAACAAAATGTAATTTAAACTAGAATGGGGTAAGGAGCTTTAAAAGCAGAACCCAAGTACACACAGAATGCCAGCCTGGAGCTTTCCCTAACCTACCAGGAGGAGCCTACAGAAATGAAATGGGTACACTATATGCTGCTGGCAAGAATGCTGCGATCACTGCCAACCCAAAGCGTTATCTGTACATATGTATCCAGCCATGCACCAGCCGGTCTGCATCAAAGGAGATGCTATTAAGTGGATATTTGAGAAGTGTCCACCAAAACAGTTTAATTTGGGATAAGAGCAGTATGACACAACCATAAGTTTGCTGCAAACACCTCCAGAGTAACCACTTGACAGTACATAACTCCTTCAGGAGGTAGGAAAAGTGCAATGTTTTAAATTCTGTCCTAGTTAATTCACTAAATGGTGTTGAGCAAGTTAGTTATTCTGTCCTTCCTTCAGCTTATTACTCTGCACAATGGAGATACAAAGTCTAGCTGGGGGGAAAAAAGGCACATCAAATGTAGTTCAGGTGCTACCAAATAAGTTATTTCATATTTCCAAAGCATAATCCAGAAAAGATCCCAAAGCTTCAAGTGCCCTTTCCATCTTAGAGCTGCCAGTTAAGAGGGAGAAAGTTTCCCTTCTGTTACTTTAACATCCTGTCTGCCCTTCCAGTTGAAAGGGTTAGGGAATCGCACTCCTTAAGCAAAACTGGTCACTAGAAAACCCTTTTCTTAGGGAGAGATAAAGAGATGATGGGATCCTATTTTCTCAAAAAGACACAAGAGTAGAAAAAGAGATCTATAGAAAACCATAGAGCTGTCTTGGGGGATGCTGAACAGACTTACTAAAGTGTGTTTTGTCTTGTTGTTTTAATGGCCTCCTGGACTTTTAAGTGGTGAAATACATTTAGAACATCTCATTCCCTTTCAGAAAACAGTTAGTCAAGTTATATTGACAATCCCAAAGCACCATGATTTAAAATGGAGTTCCCTGCCCTAGAAACCATATGCTCTGTGTACTCTAAAATCAGCTTATATTCAGGACCAATTTGAGTTGACATTAACTTCCAGATTTCCCATCTGAATCTTGGCTGTTAAGAGTTAAGGATTGTAGAATTCTACATGGAATCTTTTATTTTGGACATGTTTCTTTGTTTCTCTGATAGAACTAATGCCTGTTTTTGTTCTCTGTGTGCTTTTTTAATGCTGTGTTTATAAGCTAGTACGGAAGAAAACAGGTATCACTTGAAAAATTTCTGTGTGAGAGCAGCAGCCCAATACCCTGCTGCTTCCCATTGCTTACTTCTTTTGCCTTTTGGTGATTGTAGATTCAACAGGTTGTATGTGGACTGAAAGGGCACTGATATATCAGATTTCAAACTGGAATCTATCTCCATATCCTAAAATGCAGGGTTAATTTGGACTATTGGACTCATAACCCATTGTTGAACACTAGGCAAAATTTAAGAAGACAAATTAATACAAAAATTCATTTAAGTTTTTGCTTGTGCTTCCCACCTTCAGCATTGCTACATTTTTGTAAAATGTTCTCTAATTCCCACTTCTAATACCTTCCAAAATGCACCCCCCCCCCAACTATTTTCCTTTCTCCAAAGAGTTTGTGATTTCTTTACTTCAATAACCTGTCTCCCTCCACTGGTGTTGGTGGTTTTGTTAATGAATTTGCTGAAGGGGTGTGCTTTCAAACCCCACTCCACCCCCAAATAAATAAATAAAAGGAAACAAACACCCTTTATTTCCAGGTGCAAACTGACAAGGAGGTGTACTACAAAAATGGTCACTGTAATGTGCAAACGGTTGGTTATTATTTTTAATAAATCTTTGAATCTCTTCATACTAGAACATCTTATTTTCCTTGTACACCATACAATCATGTACTCTTTTAACAGAGATTACTTTAAAAAATCTGGAAGTATTCTTTAAAGAAAACTTTATTAATAATCCTGTATTTTTACTGATCATGTTTTGAAATGTCTGAAAGACTTTATTGTTCTAATTATCCAGATGTATGTTTGTAAAATAGCTCTTTTATGAATTAGATGATAAGGTTGTATGTTTCTGGAACAAAATATTGGTCATCTAAAAAGAACTTTGTTTTCTGGGATCTGGGAAAATAGAAAATGAGCATTCAAATATCATTAAATAAGTTTAAAGGAACCATTTTTGGTTTGTTTGTGTGTTGTTAGATTATCTCTAGCTGCCTGTTCTGTAAGGGAAAGTGGTGAGCAAGGCAAGCATTGTTAATCTTGGTAGAAATGACTTTCAGAAATCTTGCTTATCGTGCCTCTTTCCTAGGGAAGATGCCCAAGGACAGCTCAGTAATGCGAAAACTTTTATGAATATTGTTCAGTCTGGGCCTCATGGGCTCCAAGGATCTGGGGAGAGTTCTTTATAGATTACGTGGAGACATTTTTACTTAAATGCTGCCTTAAACTGAAAAGTTTTAATGTCATTAGGGTAATTTCTATTACCAGGTGCAGAGGCTTCTGAAAATGCCAACCTCTCTCTGCTTCTGTGGATGCCAACAGTGGAGTCTCAGATGGCTCTGTGATGTGGTTCTTTTACTCTTCATGGAAATGAGAGGTTGCTTGTTTTGTATAAATGAGCACACTCCTGCATCTTTTGATTTTGCAATGTTGTTCTGATTTTCGGTCATCCGGCGGTAAACGTGACTACTGGTCCACATTAAAAGTTTTAACGTGAGAAGAATATGCTTAGTATTTTGTGGCACAAATTACTTACGAATATCCATAAGTACTTTAGACCTTTAACTCCTTAGTCCTTTCAGTCCTGTTACCTTTTGTATAAGTAATAAAATTCTAGTACTTTCCCTTTTGCTTCCAGTAAACAACCTTCTGAGGAGAATGAAAAAAAAATTCTTTGTCCACATTTATGAAGTGCTTTTTAACATTCTCATTTGAGTCTTGTGAGGTAGATATTAAAAGTAATATTATCCTCATTGTCTAGATGAGGGGAACTAAGGCTCAGAGAACTGATCCAGGTCCACTGTTGTTGGCAGGATACCACCTTGAATCTTGCCCTCATCGTCTCTGAGACCAAGTATTGCTATTATACCAGACCTTTTTTTTTCCCATACTAGATAATTAATTTAGGAAAGTAAGAGGTTATCTGTTTTCTGCCATGCCATATGGTTTTTACTTGTTTATAGTGCCTGGATAAGAAAATGGCGATTAACACTATTGTATGCCAGGTACTGTGTGAGGTGCTAGGAATACAGAGACAAAAATGAATGTCTCGGCCTTTGAGGGGCTTATGTTCATTCAGGGAGACCACATGTACTCTGTGAGTACATAAAAAATAAATACATGATAATTAGGATGGGGGTGTAACTAGCAGCTAGGAGAAACACAAGATTTCATGGAGAAGGTGATTTTGGAGGGAATTATTTCGGTTTAGTGACCAGCTCAGAAGCCAGATTGCAAAGGGTTGAGAAATATCTCAAATGACAGGAAGTGGAGGCAGGGAGAGGAGGTAATATTTTCTGGAGGTTTGGCACTCCATGAAGAAAAGAATGATACATCAATGACATGAAAGTAAATAGGATTTTTTTTTTTTTAGTGACTGTGGAAACAGAACTCAATTTCATTGATATAGAGAATTTTTGAGTAAGGAAGTCCCTTTCCCAGTGAGGATTAGCACCTTGTCTGGGCAGCTAGGTGGCACAGTGGATAGAGCGCTGGGCTTGGAATCAGGAAGACTCAATGAGTTCAAATATAGCCTCACTAGCTATGTGACCCTGGGCAAGTCACTTAACCCTGTTTGCCTCAATTTCCTTATCTGTAAAATGAGCTGGAGAAGGGAATGGCAGATCACTCAAGTATCTTTGCCAAGAAAACCTCAAATGGGGTCATGAAGAGTTGGCCGTGACTCAGCTACAACAATAGCACCTGCTCTACAATTTATAGTCTAAGAGAGTTTATGGTGGTACACTGAAGCTAAATGATTTGTCCAGGATCACAGAACCAGGAGAGATGGGACTTAAATCTTACTCAGGGACCAGCTTTATTTTTCCTCCATCAGTGAAGCCTTAGGTCAGGGACAAGAGGAAAAATGTCAGATTTCTCATTCATGTACCTCTGCTTGTAACGTGTGAGTCTTGCTACTTGAAAACAAAATGCTAAAGATTTGGACTAGGAATCAGGACCTCAGAGTTCTCCACCACTAACTTGCAGTGTAACCTTCATTCAACAAATCCTTTCACCTCTCTGGACCTCCATCCCTTCATCTATAAAATGAGAGTATTGGACTAGATTGTGTTTCAACTCGAAATCTCATGACTAGATGAACTCTGGCGTATTTGACTTAGGTTCCATGATTTTTTGCCATCTGCCTTATTCTCAGCTGGTAGCAGTGGTAGGCCTTTTACCTGGCCATGCACTTGATCAATGACCTTATTTTCAATGTTATTTAAGGTACGTAAAATATTCTGTAATCCCTCTTTTCTCTACCCAAACACACTCAAATATTCCCCATCCTTAAAAACCCCTCACTAACCCTACCATCCCTTTAAGACATCCTATAACTCTCCACCTTTTCTCGAATTCCCTATTAAAGCTGTCTACACTTGACTTCCTTTCCTCTGTAATCTGGCTTCCAACCTAATCACTCAATTGAAACTTCTCTCCAAAATTACATATGATCTTTTATTGATAAATATACTGGCCCTTTCTCATTCCTTATCCCTGATCTCTCTAACATTTGACACTCTTGACCACCCTCTTCTGAACTCTTATACTTCTGTGATGTTTCTCTTGCTTCTCCTACTTACTGACTGCTACTCATTCTTTGCTAGAGCATCCATGTCACAATCCTGACTGAGTATATTCAAGGCCTCTTTTGTGGTATGACAGAGCAAATGACAAGAAGCCTATGTCCAAAAATCTGTAGTGACTGAGGATCTCAGGATCTCCTGAGACAGGCCATTCCATTTTCTGTGCAGCTCTACCCACACGTTAACATGTAGTAGGGGAGGAAGGTATGAATGTGTGTCTTGTACCAGTGACAGAAGGTTGGAGACTTAAGTGAAGAAGGTGGGAGGAGAAGGGGAAAAAGAGAAAGTTTGGAATATTAAGTCTCTTCCTTTCTGGCACTTTCTACATTTTTAGAAAGATTCTTCAGCTCTTGTTCTAGTTCTACTCTCTAGTAGTAGTTACTATCTAGCTTCTATCTAGTTCTAACCTCTATTCTATGTATTTCAACTAAATCACCCACCAGAATTTAGAAAAAGAACAAAAAAAAAACCCCTTTCCATTCATTTACTAAAACTTCAATTTTAAAGTAACTTAAAAATTGACCCTAAGCGGAGTACTGCTGCTTTTGAGTGGAATTGTAGTGTATGTGTTAGCAGCTCTTCCATAATTACGGGTAAATATGGTAGTTTTCATCTTCCTAAAAGCCCCATTTCATACTTAGAGCCCATAATACCGCTTCTGAGGCTGCCTGAAAGTTAAAATAAGACTTATTTGGGCCCTGGAGAAGTATTAGCTTTTCCCTAAAGCCACCAAAGCTCTCTTGGAATTGTGCTGTAGCCAGATATGGGAATCAGAGTTCCTGGGGACAGCTTGAGAAATTAGGTGCAGTGGAATAACACAAAGCAAATATGTACAGAATAGTTTATCTTTGTGAAAGACCAGTTTCCTTCCCACCCTTTTCTTACCTGTTGGTAGAGCTCCTTTATACCTTAATGGTTCTGAGTTCTTGTTGATTTGTGGGTACTCCCCTCCAGTGGTTCAGATTGCAACCCCTCTCCGCCTTCTCTTTCTGTGGAACACTCATACATGATCTAGATCTCATTAATAAGGAAGAAATAATCTTGCTTGCTGCCCAAGCAGTATGATGGATGGGGATTGGAAAATTGCCACTCATTCACATTTTTCCATTTTAATGTGAAATGTGTGAATGTGATGACCTGGTGATGAAGTTGTACACACATTCAATAGAAATTCTGTGCATGCAGTCAATTATATTTACATCCATAAATATATTGTGCAAGGGGGAGTTGTCCTCTTCGGTCCTACCTGAAGTAAAGAGAAGAGAGACTTACCAGTAAGAGAGTTTATATCAATTAAGGAACAAAATATTTTGTTTAGCTTTAACCTTTCTGGTTTCTAATCTAACCCATAGTGATTGATTTAACATTTAATTTTGTTCCACCCCTCAAATCCTCCTCGTCTCCCTTCAACATCCCCCCTTCTGAGTACATCCCCTTTTATGTAACCTGCTGTGGCAGCAGGTTAATCTCTTAGTGAAAATTAGAACTTGGCAGTTTTAAAACACTTTGAGTCATGCTTCACATACATCCCATACTCATTTCCTCCTTCCTCTTCCTTCTTATACATAAAAGGCTGCTATAGCTATCGCTATTGTAATGTACAAGTTGAGTTTTTTATGTGGTTTGCTAATGAAGTGGTCTCATATTTTGCTTTCCTAAATGTATCTGTTGTATGAATTTCAGTCATTTTGTCAGCATAGAAAAATGCTATAAATATTTTTATACATATGAGTCCTTTTTCTTTGATCTCTTTGGGATATAAGCATAGTAGTGGTAATGGTAGGCCAAAGAGTATGCATAGCTTAATAGCTTGGGAAACATAGTTCCACCTTGCTTTCCAGAGTGTCAAGAGGGCAGCTAGGTGGCGCAGTGGATAGGGCACCGGCCCTGAAGTCATGAGAACTTGAGTTCAAATCCCGCCTTAGACCAAACACTACTCTTACTAGCTGTGTGACCCTGGGCAAGTCACTTAACCCCAATTGCCTTAAAAAAAAAATCAGCATCAAGACCAGTTCACAGTTCCACCAAGGATGCATTAAAGTACTTGTTTTGGGGGCAGCTATGTGGCACAGTGGATAGAGCACCAGCCCTGGAGTCAGGAGGACCTGAGTTCAAATCTGGCTTTAGACACTTGATACATACTAGCTGTATGACCCTGGGCAGGTCACTTAACCCCAATTGCCTCACCAAAAAAAACCCCAAAAAAACAAAAGTACTTTTTTTCCCATAACCCTTCCAGCTTTTGTCATTGTCCTTTTTATGTCAATTTTGCCAGTCTGAGTTGTTCAGAATGTAGTGCCTCAGAGTTGTTTTAATTTTCAGTTCTCTATTAATAATTTAGAACATTTTTTTCATATGGCCATAG